TTGATGCCAATATTGCAATATTTAATTTATGCTATCAATTAAATTAAATTAAAGTTTTCAAATAGGTGGCAACCTTCCACAAAAATATTTTCAGCTGTAAGCCTTTGTAAATTTCTTTCTTTTGACAGCCATATTGCAGTATTCACTTTACCGTATCAATTGACCTAAATTGAAATTTTAAACACAGGTGGCAACTCTCTAATTTTTTCTTCTATATTGGAAGTTAGATCTCTAGCGATACATCGGTGAAAACTGCATTCAATTCCATGTTTTCACCTGATGCGCGTGCAAATATACAGACAGACAGAGATTCAAAAATTCTAAAAATTGTTTATTTGGCTTTAATAAAAACCCATCAAGTTAATTTTTCTTTAATATCTATAAGTTTGGTATTCCTGCAACAATTGGGGCGATAGAGGGAACGCAAATTCAAAGGGTGCGGCCTACTGTATTTCAATAGGAAACTGAAGCCCAGTGTAAATACCATGGTTGAAACACTTATGCAAATATGTATATATGACCATATGATTGAACTATTGCAGATATGTGATCACAGAATGATTGAAAGGGCAGTTGATGCTCGCTTTGGAGGCGCGTGCCACGATTCACATGTGTGGAATGTGTCCCATGAGAGACGCGAACTGAAGAGCCGTTTTGAAGGCGGCGATAGAGCCACACACCTAATAGGTTGGCTAATTTTACTTCTCTTTTTTATATAGTACTAGCCAATGCCCGCTTACTTCGCGGCGCCTAATATGAGCTTTTGCGTTGGTCAATGCAAAAGAGCGTTGAAAAACAAAATTAGTCGGTAAAGTCAAAATTTTTGATTTAAGTTGAAACCACTAAGGTGCAGTATCCTCCTCACACATAGGCCAATAATAGTAACACTGTGATACCATATGGAATACCAATCCCTTTCGGTGTCATGAGCTTTACCGATGGTCTTATTTCCACCTGTGAGATCTCTGCCAGGCACGCGTAATCTTTTTGTATGATCTTGCAACTACAACATTGGTGCGATGCGTATGCCAATACAAATTCTTATAGGGAAACTCAAGAGCACAGAAGTGCGTTTCCTGTTATAGGAGAGCCAAGAATCCACGCTGTTCCACAGGATGAAAAGTTTTCCGGTACATTGCTAAATGAGTCGTGTGATCTCTTAAGTATCTTTCAAATGAAGCAATTGATATACCTACGGTGATCTTTCCTTGTTAGTTCACCACTTTTACAATTCGTGGTAAAATTTATGAACTGATGTCTGGGTAGATGCAAGACCGCGTGATCGTGCGTCAGAAAAACTTAACCCCATCGTTCATTTAGACATCTGAAAACTAAATTCGTACAACTTAAACATAGGGCCAAAGCAGACCAACCACACGGGGTTTCTATACATTTTCGCCATCCATTGGGTTCATTTTCTGCATACTATTGCTTACCATAAAATAAATACATGTTATGAATTTCGACCTTAACTCCAGCGGCACTAATCAGGCAAATTTTAATCAAAACAATTTTCCATCATACAGGTACATAGCTCACATTTAAAATTTGAACGAAATCGGTTAGTAAATACGATTTTTATATAACTCTAATCCAGCACCACCTAGCGAGTTTTATAGTAGCATGTAATTGGACCATATATGTATGTAAGATAACCTCCGACAATCTGACGGAACTCTATTCAGTGTTTTTTGAGTTTATTCCGAACAACGAAAACGGCTATCATTTTATGAAAATAGGATAGGACAGTTTATAGCGAAACTTGTAAAAGCAAAGCTCCATTCTTTGTGAAAAACTAAAAAAAAATCTTCAAAATTTTCACATAAATTTTACCTTGCTGAAAATTAAAGACAAAGTTACAATAGTTCAATGGGATTTAGAAATGTAGGAGAAAATGGTTCCCAATCGAATGATACTTGCGCGTTTACGTAAATGTATATCGAGCCAGACTTTCCAATAGTTACCACTTTTCGCCATAACTACGGTATTGATAACATATGTAGCTGTGTAGAATTTCAGGGCGTTAGCGTAAGCAGTTAAGCTATATGAGAAGTTCAGTTTGTATGGAAGGAAGGAGCCACGCTCCCTTTCCCAATGCATTTGTAATATATGCATCAGTGCTAAGTTTCAGTTCCCCAGCGTAATTGGTTTTAGAGATATATTGGTTTTTTACGTATTAGTCTGTATAAGAATTTTAGGAATAACCCGAGCTACATACCGAGTAAATTTTTGGTCAGAATATTTATTTTCAAGGTGTTGTGAAATATCAACCAATTCGATGCAGCCGTTTAGTAGTTTAGTGAAATACATTGTAAAGAGAACTGTATGAAATTGTAAAACGTGACGTCTCAGATTTCTTAATTTTTTGGCATCAACAACGAAAAGTTTTAATTTATTTTAGCGAAAAACCTTCCACGCAGAAATAAAAAAAATATTAAGTTTGTGGTTATATCAAGGCGAAGTTTTGAGAATGGTCCGTTGCTAACTCTAAATATAAACAACGACGCACTGGAAAAAGTTAATACGTTCAAATACCTAGGAATAATGATCGACGATAAACTAAAAAAAAAAAATGGATTCTATATTTTCAATTAGAGCTCTAGCATGTACATCGGTGAAAACTGCATTTAACCCCATACATTAGCTTTTGCGTGATGCGCTTACAAACATACAGACAAACATACCAAAATTTTCTATTTGGCTTCTGTTGATCTAATAAGCCCCCTATTAATTTTTCTTTAACATCTATTATGTTCAGATATCGGCCTGTTGAAATTTTATTATTCTCAAATGCTCTCGTTTGATACCCATATGGCAACACTTAGTTTATATTATAAATTTAACTGAATTAAAGTTTTCAAATAAGTGGCAACCCGCTTCAAGAATATTTTCAAAAGTAAGCTTCCTAATCTTTTTTAGTTTAATATTCGTATTGCAATATTTCATTTATTTTACAAATTTTAATGTATACAATTTTTCAATCAGTTGGCAAATCCCCTAAAAATATTTTCAGCATTAAAATTTCCTAGCCTCTTTAGGTTGATGCCAATATTGCAATATTTAATTTATGCTATCAATTAAATTAAATTAAAGTTTTCAAATAGGTGGCAACCTTCCACAAAAATATTTTCAGCTGTAAGCCTTTGTAAATTTCTTTCTTTTGACAGCCATATTGCAGTATTCACTTTACCGTATCAATTGACCTAAATTGAAATTTTAAACACAGGTGGCAACTCTCTAATTTTTTCTTCTATATTGGAAGTTAGATCTCTAGCGATACATCGGTGAAAACTGCATTCAATTCCATGTTTTCACCTGATGCGCGTGCAAATATACAGACAGACAGAGATTCAAAAATTCTAAAAATTGTTTATTTGGCTTTAATAAAAACCCATCAAGTTAATTTTTCTTTAATATCTATAAGTTTGGTATTCCTGCAACAATTGGGGCGATAGAGGGAACGCAAATTCAAAGGGTGCGGCCTACTGTATTTCAATAGGAAACTGAAGCCCAGTGTAAATACCATGGTTGAAACACTTATGCAAATATGTATATATGACCATATGATTGAACTATTGCAGATATGTGATCACAGAATGATTGAAAGGGCAGTTGATGCTCGCTTTGGAGGCGCGTGCCACGATTCACATGTGTGGAATGTGTCCCATGAGAGACGCGAACTGAAGAGCCGTTTTGAAGGCGGCGATAGAGCCACACACCTAATAGGTTGGCTAATTTTACTTCTCTTTTTTATATAGTACTAGCCAATGCCCGCTTACTTCGCGGCGCCTAATATGAGCTTTTGCGTTGGTCAATGCAAAAGAGCGTTGAAAAA